TGGATTCCACTACGTACAGGGTTTACAGTTTGGTTCAATGGCTCTCAGCATGCCCACTATCCAAATTTTTCCAGCACCCCTGCTAAGTAAGTGTAGGGCATGATCCTGAACATTCAAGAAATTATTCAAGAACAGTTTCTTAATTTGAAAACATTCTTCTTGTAATGTTAACAAGGCCAGAATAGGGCCATTATCTGCCATGCAAATGCCAGTCACAGATATGATAAAGGTGAATAACTTTTGAAACATAACCCAAAATGTTAAAACTACTACATAACTTTAAAATAATCCTGTTTTAAGAAAAGATGTCAGACTCCCAGGTCCATAGAAATTCATAGTGTTGGATCCCATAGTCCTAGAGTTGTAAAACATTAAATGGGCCAAATCACTTGTTTTCCTTTAGTCAACTCTAGATGGCAACATAGAAATAACACAATTGGGAGCAGTTTCTGAAGAGAACATTGGATGGCCTTCTATAGCTGATTCATAGGTTCATAGGTTGTTCCCTGTTGCCTCCCAGTCCTCACCCCTTGATCTGCTTCTAGACCCTTCTTTGCTAGTGTTATGTTTGCGCAAATATCTGGACTAATCCATATTCAGTCCAATTTTCAAAATCATCTTGAATATATTTCTACCTATGAATTTTATGCAGTATTTACAATAGAGATTCTCTGCACACTGGGTTCATCCAGCGTAACATCTCAGAAACATGTTCTATACCATTCCACTGACTCTACACTACCTGGGAATTCTTCTTACATAAGGGGTGCCAGTTAAGCCCACTCTCTGATGCCAGAACAGACCGGAAAACCAGGTCTAGGGAGTTTAAGTGACTTACAAAACTGTACATAGGCCAGCCTCTTATATACTAGGTCACAGCATGTCATACAAATTGATTCAAATTTCTGTAGTTAATTAGGTCAGTGGTGAATTTAAGATAAGGAAATCTACACACTTTTGAGATCTACAGATGGAAAACACTAGAAAAAGGCAAAGCATGAGTAACAACATTTTTCAGAAGGAGTAACAGAGAGGGCCAGTAACTTAGCTAGGAAACACTATAGCCTGGAGGGTCATGCTTTGATTATGAGAGAGACATACACTAGCTTCTAATCTGAAAATTTGCATTTGCTTTGTAGTTCTTCTTACCAACCTTTGGGCTGAAGATAGGTTGCACTGTGGCTGTATGTACGGCATACCAAGGGCACATGTGTGTCTTGTCAGATATGCATCAAATGAGGTCAGGGTCAATGGGTGTCATTAGTTTACTTAGTCCTTCACTGTAATAGTCTGGTAACCTATCCATTCTAGTTACTGATGGCATCAACAAAATCTAAACAATTGAAAGCAAGGAAAGGAATAATTAAGGACATAAAAAGTCTTACACTGCCCACATAATGAGCAAATACACTAACAAGTATTAAAAAATGCAAATTTTATCAGAACTCACAGAGGTTTCAATGAAAATGTCTGGGCTTATTCCTGCAACCCTTAATCATACAAACAGCCCTTATTCATAGGTGTAGTTCTATTGACGTCAACTACTCATATCTTTAACTGTTTCAGGATTATGCTCTATATTTATCTATAATTTCAAGTTCCCAGAAAGGATCAATAATCATTTGCTACAGTGATTTTGAAATATTTTCTTAGTTGCCTGATTCCAATCACAGGCAAGTTTTCACTCAACATTTACAGATATCTTCTTCTTCAACTTACTTTTTCTCCTACAGAACCAAAGCTAATAGAATGAAAATATAAAATGTCATATATGTTTGATTTCAGAGTAGCAGCCGTGTTAGTCTGTATCCGCAAAAAGAACAGGAGTACTTGTGGCACCTTAGAGACTAACAAATCTATATATGTTTGAGATGCTCTATTTTCTTATTTCATAATTTCAGGGATCTAATGGATAATACCTAACCTTTTTCCACACAGACTGTTTCTTATTTGGAGGATTCTACTTCAAGACATAAGGGGCATGTCAGCAATCAGCATTGATTCCATCAAAATGCTGTTGTGGCCTGAACCTGCATTAGCTTTTCCATAAAGGTCCTTCCATGCTAGGAAATACCCTTTAACAAGGCTTCCAGGGCAGTGAGAGTCCTGGCAATACAGCATAGAGCTGCTGCCTAGGGGCCTAAACCAGGGGCTAGGGTCCCCAGTGCCAGTATTAAGGCACAGAGACCTCATATGGATGGCCTTGTGTCCTTATCAGACCCTTTAAAATTAGCACATGTCTCAAGGGATCTGAGATATCATTTAGTGATATTCTCAGGGTAGAAGTGCAGCCAACTCTGCATAGAACAGGCTTGTGGATGGGATAGCAGGAAACCCCATCTCCCCAAATGGAAAACTCCGTGAAGATAATGTTAATAATTTCCTCCCCTAAATCCACCTCCTGCAATCTGGGTCCAGGGTCTTAAAAAATTACTGGAAACATAATTTCTTAATTGCTTAGGGTTTTTTCAACAAAATACATTATATGTTCAAAAGCCGCTACCCTAATATTCTATAGCCATCATTTCTTTTGATCTGGACATCCACAGTAATTTATCCCCAAACACAGTTCATAATTGTTCTTTCTTGAAAGAAAGGTTCAGTGACTACAAGACTTGCAGGATGGCTGGTTCTGCCACTCTCTCCTGCCAAAATGTGACAGGCACAGCAGGGTTGGATGGAGGTTTGGCCTTTGAGTAATTTTCTAGCTCTGCTCCTGTTCCCTATTTTCCAACAGCAGCCAATAATTATGATAATATTTTACATATATATAGAACTTTTCATCCCAGAAGATCACAAAGTGCTTTACAAACTCAGGCTTGACTGTGGCATATAGCCAGAGGTCTGCCTCCAGGGTAGTGGGGAGCTCACTACTCCAAGAACTCCTAAGAGTCCTGTAAATCAGACATTCTTTCTTGGAGCTTTGGAGAATGCAGCATGAACCTGCTTGCTGCATCACCCATGGACTGGGTGTGGTATTTGTTCCTTATCTGCCTGGCTAGTGCCAAGGGCTGGATTGGAAAGGACCCTGACTCAGCATCCTCTCCCTCCCCTTTACAGA